GATGATTTTTCAAACTTAGTCTCTCATCTAAGAATTACTCTTGTCTTTTATCACCATAAAGTTAAACACAAAAACAAAACCAATCTCACTTTGAACAAAATTTTCTCTACCAATTCCTTTGCTTCTGCCTACTGAACCATCATTCTTCCAGATTTAAAATGTGGGAGTTATTTTTGATTTGCCTGACCTCCTCCCTCCCCAAATCCATTTTTAGTTGCAAAATTCTATTGCTCTTCTGAGGAAACGTATATTTTATCTGTTGCTTCCTTTCCATTTTTCACTGTTGTCTGTCTAATTTCGTTGCCTCCTCACTTCCTGGATAACTCCCACAGCTTCCCTACTAGCCTCCCTCTCTCTAGTTTCTTCCCCATCCAGTCAATCTTGAGTTCCATTAACAATATTTTAAATTCTGCTTTTATTTTGTTATTCCCTAGTCTCAAATCTTTATTGGCAACCTATTATGTACCATTTCATATCTATAAGACCATTTCATATCTATAAGACCATGCATACAAGAAGAAACTCCACAAGCATTGAAACAATACAGAATTATTGTCATTAGTATCAATGATTGTCACATCATTAAGTCATCTCACTTGTAAGATATGACATAACGTGACCCATCTTCTCTGAAGTATAATCTGATTTGAAACTGCTAGCCAACATGTCACCTTGGGCTCTAGTTAGGTTGAGCTCAGCACTGTCAAGAGCAGCACATGTCCTGCTCTTCCCTCCCCACATGTCTCTCTAGCGGGAAACACAGAGGTTGCATGATAGTGCAGGTGGGAGCTTTCTATATTGTGAAATGATCAGACATACATGGCTCGTCCAAGAGCTCTGTTCTTGACTCTGTCTTGTTTGTTTCATTAAAGCCTTGGGATGAAAATAGATTACATTTTTATCAAATTTATAGATATTAAAAGTGAGGGAAAATAGAAGCTATGCAAGATAACAAGATCAAATTCAAAAAGAACTCCAACAATAGCTCAAAGTGAAGATCACAAAATACAACAGAAGTAAATAAGTTTTGAATGTTAGGTTCAAAAGTACAACTGAACTGAATAGGGAAGACCTCTTATAATACTTATTACAAAATATTTCCAGGGATATAGATCAGGATGAGGGTGAGCACATGGAAGTAGAGTGAGGAGGAATGGATTATTTATAAGAGAACTACAAATCGAGTCAACAGTTTTGCTTCTAAAAGAGCAAAAGCACTCTTAGGCCATGTTAATAGAATTATACTGTCTAGAACAAGTTACATTGTGTTCTTCACGGATTGGATAGTTTGAGAGTATTTTCAATTCTGGTTGTTATATGAATTGATAAACAAATACATGAAGAATTGTGTAGGATCTAGAAATCACATTAGTACTTAGATTTGTTTTCATGTTTAACTTGATGGAGGCATTAAGAAAGGACATAGTGTCCATGTTTTAAAGGACTATCCTAAAAAAGAGAGTAGGATTGTTTTCTATAGCAAAAGGAGGGAAAAACTAGACCCATTGGTGAAAGTTTGGAGGAAGTAAATTTTAGCTCAATAGAAATTTTTCTGTCAGTAAAAGACATAAACCAGTGAAATAAGATATCTTAAGAAATTAACTTCTTGTCACTAGAAATAGTTAAGTATAGATTGAGTGACATCATCTCAGGAACTTTTTTTTTCTTGGCATTCTTAGAGTGCAGAGAATTAGACTAGATAATCTGAAGGTTATCTTCTTTTCATCTCTAAGGTGTAACATTGCTGCCACATATCTGAAATACTCTCTCTTCTCTATACAATATTAGTTGTACGTGCTCTTGATTCATAGCCATCTTTGTCTTCAGTAGAGTGGGAGCTCCTTGAAGGTAGGGATTCTGTTTTTTATCCATATACTCTGGGCTTCTATAACTGCTCCTAAGGAGCCGAGTCAATATATTTCAGCTAATTATGAAGTTCTACCTAGGAAAACCTTACCTACCCTTCAAAGTCTAGCAGGAGTTCCCACTTTCCACAGGAAGCCTTCCCTAATCATTCCTATAACTCTTATATTCTGTGCTATATAATTTACCACAATGTAGTTCTCTATATCTTTACTCATGTAATGTTGTTTAATCTGTGCCATACTTATTTCCTCAGCTAGACTGTCAGTTCTCAATGAATAAAAGAATATTCTTTAAAAATTATGCCAATTACTTATTATCATGCTCAATACTGAACTAATTAGCAATAAGATACTTGCCGATTAATTGAAAAATAATCTAGAAAATTTTAACGTTAAAAAATACTCCACTTATTAATCACCAAGAAGAAAAAATGTAACTTTGTAATAGAGAAACATGGCACATGTTTCAAAATTAAACATCACCAGTCAGACAACATGTTGACATTACTGAAATTATCTCTGTGTCATTTTTGCTGAAAGTTAGTGACCTCAATCTAATTGTGAGAAAACATCACATAAATCCAAACTGAGGAACAGTCTACAAAATATCTGACTAGCAGTACTCTTTAAAAGTGTCAGGGTTATGAAAGACAAAGTAAGACTGAAGAATTTTTACAGATTGAAGGAGATTAAGGAAACATGACACTAAATGCGATGTGGAATCCCAGATTGGATCCTGAACTAGAAAAAAGACATTAAGGGGAAAAGTGGAGAAACTCTAAGTTGGTCTGTTGATTAGTTAGTAGTAGTATAACAATGTTAATTTCCTGGTTTTAATAATTATACTATAGTTATGAAGATGTTAACATTAGGTAATCTAAATGAACACCATACTCTTTGCAACTTGTCTGTAAGTCAAAAATTATTTTAAAATAAAAAATAAATTATATTTTGGTTTCATTGACAAATTAACAAGAGAATAGTGTCTAGGCAAAGTTGATATGCTTCTAAGAGGGAATAATCATTAGAGATAAAGAACTTGAGTGTGGCCAAACAACTAAGACAGCTACCTTTAACCAAAACAAAAAGATACAGTCAATTCTTGTTATTTGTGGTACTTATGTTCCATAGAGTTGCTGCAAACACTGAATTAGTGAATACTGAAGAATTGCTCTTAGGGGAAATGCAGGGTTGGTTTCTTACAAGCCTCTAGTCATATTTTCACCAACTGATCAATACATAACCTTGTTTTATGTGTATTTCTGCTTAAAGACAACTTATTTAATATGTACAATTGGTTCATTATCATTGAACTTATGTCCAACAGCACTATAGCTGATGCCTGAATGAAGCTTATCTAGCACATGCATTTTCTTCATAAGGCACATCACAGCTTATTGTGCTTATGGACACTAAATAGCACTTTAGCATTACACCTGGAGTCCATTTTAAACAGTGAAATCATCAACAAAAAGTACAAAAATGCAAAAAAATGTGATACTAAATAGATCTCAAAGAAGACACAGTATGAGAGCTATAACAAGAAGGCAGAGCATTGCCTTGTTTGACTTCAGCTGGGAATGTGTGTTTCAGTTGACACAAATTTTTCATTGCTCTGTCCATGTCTGCAATGAGCATAAAAGTATTGCCAGTACTAATGTGGGTTTTCAAATAAATACATTTTAGTGAGTTGGAGAATTTTCAAATATGGAGTTGAAACACATCTAATAACTGTACCTTTAAATACATCTAGTGACTGTAAATTTATATGTCCTTGCTTTTAGTGAATAAGAGAGTAAGAATAATATTTGCATTGAATTCCTGAAGAATTAGAAAATAACTGACAATTCTTCAGTTTTCAAAACCTGGCAGAAAGAGTGGGGCTTCTTCACTGAGACTTGCACATTTTAGCATCACAATTTTTTTTAGAGATGGAGACAGTCCATGGAAATCTGTCTCTGAATTTTCATTCAGTAACAGGGTATTTTAATTTTATAATTTAGTTCTATCACAATTTATAGTTTTTTCCCCAACTCTGTCTACACTGAGTACCTTTCAAAAATCCTGGCCTTATAAAATGATATTTATCTACTTTACATTTTTGTCTTCAGTAAACATAGCCACAACCTGAACTTCACCATTATCTGAAACTGCTTAACCTTCAGGAAATCCTCTCTTGGTGATCACATATCCACTCTTCACTTCTATTCAATCAATTCAATTTCTATTTGTGACATAAATACTTCAAAATTCCTACCTATTCCCCAGCCAGTTACTCTCTTCTAGCTGTACTTAAACTTTATCTCTACTTAATTGGTACCGCTTATGAAGTCATTTCAGTTATGTTTTCACTAGCACTACAAGATCTATTATCTTTTGACCTTTCACATTTTTTTTAAATTTTCCGAACTATGTTCTAGAGTAATCATCCTTTGTTTCCTCTTTTTTTTTTTTATTCCTGGTCTGCCAAGTATTTCTGCAAAATTCACATATTGTTTTAAAAAAATAATAATAATTTACTTAATCAACCTTCAGCAAGTCTTTACTGCTCTTATTCCTATTTATCCACTGTTGAATCCCAATTGCACTGACTGGATCTGCCAAACATTCTCTTCTTTCTACACACATACTGCCAATACTGTAGTTCAGAGGGATACATAGATCACTTGTCTATGGTAGTAAGTTCTTAACTAGTCTCTTACATTCTGCCCTGCCCACTTTAAAAGCTAATTAATCATTTTAAAGTAGACAGTTAATCATCCAACGTTCTCCCCATAGCTATCTGGCAAAATTCCAAACACCTTTACATGCCATTCATGTCCCTTTATGAAATGATTTCAGATTACTTGGGTTGATCCCAAGAATAAATGTGCCTGTTAAGAAAAGCTCCTGGTGGCTAATTGGGCTTAAATTTGTAAACATTCTCTAATAGTCATTGCTAAACATGGGCCTCCCATGCACTCTGCATTTCAGGGAAAAGCCACAGACTGAGACAAGCCTCTTGCACTGTGCTCTTTCTGTCTAAGTTCACCCTTATAAGAGAGCATCTAGGGTAGAAATTTGACCAACGGGACTAAAAGTTACCCTGTCCAATCAGAACTGAGGAACTATATCTTCATATGCATTTGCACTGACCAATCAGCGCGGCTCCATTCCGATCAATCAGCATGGTGCTATTTGGACCAATCAAACTGTGAAAATTTAGAGTCCTCATTTGCATAGAAATGGACCACTCTAGGACTGGGGAAACCACTCTTTTCTAAATAATCCAGCTTTGCCTCTTCCTCAAAGGAGTTATCTTTCAGTTTCCACCAAAGACTGCATTTCCCGCGGCCTGAACTATAACATCAGAGTTGCCTCGCCTGAGCTGCCTCACAGCTGAATCAAGACTTTTCATATATTAAACCAATTCACACACTATGTGTAGGCCCACATGAACTATTTCTGTTCTCAATATAGGTCAAACTTCTCTCCAATCAAGCCCCTTATTTACACTTTTCCCTTTATTGGGAATATTTTGCTCCCAAACTCTGTCCCTCAAAATCTTACCCATTCTTCAAGCACCAAATCAAAATACCTATCTTCCATGAAGCCTTCTCTGGTTCTACAATTGGAAATTCCCTCTTCTTCTGACTCACTATAGCACTTCAGAATTGTATCTAATGCATCTGTATTTATGAATAGTTATTTTGTAATTATTTTATTCTCCTTACTACATTTCAAGATCTTTGAGGGTAGAAAATATATCTATCTTACATTTACCACAGTGCCTAGCATAAATGCTCAGTAGAGTTCTATCTACTAACTGAATAAATAAATGTGATATATATCTAGTACAGTAGTTCCACCCTATCCATGGGGGATACATTTCAAGACCCCTAGTTTGATGCCTGAAACCATGGTTAATACTGAACCTTATATATACTATATTTTCCCTATACATACATCTATGATAAAGTTTAATTTAGAAATTAGGTACAGTAATAGATTAACAGTTAATAATAAAATAGAACAATTTTAATGATATAATAAAAGTTATGTGAATGTGGGCTCTGTCTTCTTTTCTCAAAATATCTTATTGCACCATGTCGATATGCTGAACAAATGGATAATTTACATGAAAGCAGGACTGAATGGGGCAGAGCAAGATTTCATCTCACTACTCAGAATGGAATAAAATTTAAAACTTAATAAATTGTTTATTTATGGAATTTTCCACTTAATGTTTTCTGACTGTGGTTGACCATGGTTAACGGAAACAGTGGAAAGCAAAACCACAAATAAGGGGAACTACCGTGTATGCCTAATATGGGTATGTATATAATGTAAATAACATATACATAAGATGATCTATGTACAAAAGAGAAAGTTGAACAAAGTATAGCACATTGTTAATGGCCCATATTATTGATGAATTAAAATGTGAAATAGATGTAGGGGAACAGAGAATAGAAGTGTAATAAATTAACAATTATTTGATAAAGTGAACAAAATGAATGGTTAACTATTATAGCTTTAACTCTTTAGATAGGGTTGTATTGAAATCTTTCCAGATTGACAGATTTATTTATTTCATTTCTGGAATTAAAAAATAAAATATAACTTAAGAATAATTATATTCAATGAACGCTTAAAGTGAAACGACATTGCTAGACATAGTTAATACTGTAATGGTATATCACTTTATTTGAAAGACTGTTTAATTTTGATTAAGAGAATAAAATAACTCAGTATTTATTGTCTATTGTATTTGTACAGTAAATACTAATGAAAGAAATCACCATCATTGCTATCACTACTACTATCATCATAAAATACATTCTTTAGTTTAAAAAGCCATGAAAAACTATACTAGAAATGTAGTTCAGTAGGAAGCTACAACAACTGGGAATCTTAGTAACCTCAAAGCAAAACCATTCATCATGATAGTTTTATTTACACTCAATAACAATTCAGAAAAGGGTATATCAAGAAAGATTTCTTCCCAGTCAGTTTTGTTCCTCTGCAGGGACACTACTCGTGATTATACCAAAATAAAAATTAAGTCATAAAATTTAGTCAATTCTGTTCTGACAAGCATTAAAACATTTCTCTTTGAGGTTTATTTTACATATGCATAGTTTAATGAACCTTTTAATTTCTGGGAACTCCCAACATCCTAAGAAAATTTTAAAAGCCAAGCCTCAGTTGTACTTATTTTGACTTGGCTATTGAACCTATTTCAGATTCAATCTTGTGCAATGAAACAATAGCAAAATGAAAGGAGAAATTTCTATGGATGCTACAGAATGCAAAAGAGAACTTAAATGTGGGGTACACATGTTACTTGAGTTTAACGTTTCCTAAATCATATGCCTATCAAAAATTGTTTACTGAAAGAAAATTTTGTCAAGTGAATCAACACTTATTAAGCAACAATTATGTGTCAGCCTGGGAATAAAAGAGTGGTTAAATTGTTGTCCTTCTCATCAAAGAATTCACAAAAACTCATATAAAAGGGTAGCTGTTAAAACAAAGTATTACGTGGTCACAAAAGAAAGATCTGCCAGAGGGAGGTGAGAGGGAAACAGAAAGAAAGAAAGCGACTTTTAAGCTAGACTTTGGAAGATAAAAGCAGTCAAAACAAATGTATCCTCAACCATGAACTTAGCCCTCAGTAGAAATATAAGTTTTAGGGCAATTTCAAAGCATGAACTAAATAATTGAGATTAAAGATAAATCATAGGTAGCATGTATAATAAGACACTAAGCTGAGATAAGTTAGTAAAATGAGGGAGATATTTTCACTTAAACAGTAAGACTACAGAGTGAAAAAAATGTATTATATCCCATATTGAATTTACTGTGGGAAGTAACCCTGAGAGATGTCTACACGTGGCACAGATGGAGTTAGGAGTGTCTTCTTGTGGTTTTTAGCATGTACTATCAGACAGCCTGTAAAAAAATGGTTATTTTTAAAGAAATGCTTTAGTTTAAGGATAAAAAATACATAATAAACTGTGTAATAAGATATAGGATGTCAGAAACTACACATTATTTTTATATGACCTTTCTCCACTGTGCTGAAATAGAAAGGATTTTAAAATGTAAATCAGGACTCTGAAAGCAGAAATCATGAAAAAAAATAGAAAAGACCAATCATTGAATATCCAGACAGAATTCCTCTCTATGACCATTTTTATCAGATAAGATCAGCATCCAGAAACGTCCTCTGAAAATAATGACCTGAAGTTTATCCAATTGTCTTAGGAACATAATCCATTGGTAACATGAGGGTTTTGTTATTTGTCTTCTTAATTGGTATATCTTCCTTACATTCTTCTAACCTAAGTATGCCAGAGTGAGTTGGGCAAGCAAGTAATCAGCTGAGAAACTCTGAGCCCTCTGAGATCTCTTGTCTGTCCTTATATTTATTTTTAAGAGGGCGCAATGTCAACAAATACCAGAGAGAAAGTCAAAATGGCATAGATGATAGAGGCTTTGTTCATCTGCTCTTATGACCACATTAAATTTGTGACAGAAACACGGTGCAAACAGCAAGCAGAGTCGCCTGGAGTATATATGAATAACCCCTAAAACTAGGGAGAAAAATAAGGAATCACTCTGCAACAGGAGGAGGTAGGACAGGTAAAGATGTGAGTCTGCATGATTCCGAGTGGGACAGAGGCTCTGGCAACAGCAGCCTGCCACTGAAGATCTTGTTAAAGGGAATGTGTCCATGACCAGACTATCGCAGTGACAGACACACTTGCTCTGAGCACTAGTGCCCTGTTGGTTGCTTGGGAATGGGGGAGGGGCACCAGGGACATACAGGGGGACACTGAGTTGTTGAAGCGAAGGCTGGAGACAAGGCTTTCTCCTGGGCAGAAGTGTTGGTGATATCCATTGTTCCTCTGTTGAGCTCTCCCCACTCCCAGCTATACAGCACTGCCATAGCTGAGACGACATCTAACTGGATAACAGAGGTTGCTCCACCCAGAGGATTTCCTGAAACTCCTCCTCTCCCAACTCACAGCCCCACTCAAGCCACATCCAGTTGGATCCTCAGTAGTCCTGTGCCATGTGCTGAGCAGTGCTTAGACTCACACTGGTGGCAGCTGAACTCGGTATCTGGCGTGGCCTCTTTAGGCAACTATAAGCACAGTATCTTTGGATTGCTTGCTGAATTTTAACAGGTGGTCCCTTAGGGACACAAACTTGGACTAAACTTGACCTGCAGTTGAACCCCTCTCAGGTCTGTGCCACTGGATACCTACTACACAAAGCCATAGTAGTAAGACCAGGAGACTTAGGAGCTTTGTTTAGTACATAGAAACAGACACAGAAAGGCAGCCAAAATGAGAAGACAAAGAAGCAGAAACCATATAAGAGAAAAGAACAGAGATCCAGGAATAATGGAGTCGAGCAATCTAACAGATGCAGAGTTCAAAACACTGGTTGTAAAGATGCTCAGTGAACTTATGGGAAGTGTAGATGAATTCAGTGAGAACTTTAACAAAGAAATAGAAAACATAACAATGGAAATGTAAATTATAAAAAGGAACCAGTCAGAAATGAAGAATATACTATCTGAGATGAAGAGTATATTAGAGGGAATCAACAGAGTGAATAAAGAAGAGGATCGAATCACCAATTTGGAGGATGGGGAAACCAAGGGACAACCAATCAGAGTGGCAAGAAAAAATAAACCAAAAATATAATAATAATTTAAGGAGTCTTTGCGACAAAACTAATTGTAAAAACGTCCACATAATAGGGATACCTGAAGGAGGAGAGAGAGAACAAGAAGTAGAAAAGCTATTTGAAGAAATAATGATGGAAAACTGCCCTCACCTGGTGAAGGAAATAGATCTACAACCCCAGAGAGCTCAGAGAGTCCCCAGAAAGAAGAACCAAAGAGGCCTACACCAAGACACATTATAATTAAGATGCCAAAGGTTAAAGACAAAGAGAGAATCTTAAAAGCAGCAAGAGAAAAGCAATTAGTTACCTACAAGGGAGCACCTATAAGACTGGCAGCTGATTTCTCAAATGAAACTTTGTAGGCCAGAGGGGCTTGGCACAAAATATTCAAAGTGATGAAAACCCAGGATCTACAACCAAGAATCCTTTATCCAGCAAAGCTATCATTTGGAGTTGAAGGAAGATAAAGCACATCCCAGACAAAAA